TTTTGTATGTTATTTAGGTCGTGTGATTGTGTTTTCTGGTCTGGGCCGTTGGCTTCAATTTGTCCGAGTGTAACCTTATTATCCTGTTGGGATCCTACACTCGGGTATTACCTATTGGGGTCTTTGTGTTTGTGTGTAGTTTTTTAGTTATTTTTGTATTTTACCCTGTTGGGGTCGGATATCTAGGCTGGTCTTCTGACCTGTCCTCCCACTTTTCAGCTGTTGGTTGCTTGTATTCAGCTGTTAGCTGTTTGTATTTAGTCGGTAACTGGTTTTTTATGTTATACCACAATAAACAATCAATTTTAGTTAATTATATAAGCTGGTTGTTATATTTTATATCAATTTAAGTGTAATTACTATTTTTAAACTATTTTATTATATAATAACAGTAATTAATTATAAATATAATGAAGTCACTTATTCATTTAAGAATGTTATTGCAAAATATTTTCTCCATACTATTTATTCTAATATTAAAAATATCTTTTTTTCATCTCATTAAACAATAAATTAGCTAATTAATTTTAATGGCATAATCAATAACCCCTTAAAATTATATTAACAACAACAACAACAATAATAATAATTTCCAACTAATCAGTTGGTCACGATCTCTCAAAATTATATTTATTATAATTTATGTCAAAAAAATATAGTGATTAATTATATGTAAGTTATACAATTTATATTTATAATGTTCATTTTTACGAAGTGTCAAAATTTTAGAATGTAATATACTCATTATCTTAATTATAATTTTAAATATTATATACATACATATGTTGTATAATATTTCATTTACATATGTCATGTGCAATGATCGACTATGTTCGTTAATTAAGTAATTCAGATAAATGTTACGTGCATATTATGATATTGTTTGTACTTGTCAGATTGACCTAGTAAAATCCTACTATTAGAATTTGACCTAGTAAAATGTTACGTGCATATGTCATTGGAAATTGCATATTTCAATGGAAATTCCAACGGATATTCCAATAGTATAACTTCCGTTGGAATCATTCCAATGGGAATTCTAATGAAAATATTCCGTTGGAATGTATTTTTCATTAGAATTTTAGATGGAATTTGATGATTCCAACGGCTATATTTCCAACGGTTTTTGACCGTAGAAATTTCCATTGGAATATGCAATTTCCGTTGGAATGTTTATTTCCACCATCGTTGAAAAATCTACTGTTGGAATCATCAAAATCCAACGGAAATTCCAATAAAAAATTCATTCCAACGGAATTAATAGCATTGAAATATCCATTGGAATTGCCGTTGGAATTCTATTAAAATATATTTCCGTTAGAATTTCATCATTTTCTTGTAATGAATAATAAATATTGATACTAGTTAATCAGATTTTTTTATAAATTCGTTTAGTATTTTTAATAATTGTGACAATTCTATTTTATCCTTTGCTCCATTGTTGAGAAGAACAAACACCACACAATTTTTATTTTTATAATATATGTAAAAATCTTGTTTATAAAAAATCTACAAAACCCCACAGAAGTTAATTCCGGCTGCCATCCGAAAATGATTTTGCCTGTGTTTCTTGTCACAGCATTTTCTTTGGCACGTGCATTAAGAGATTATCTGCATGATAATATACAATTTTTATAAATTAAGGTGATTATAAAATGATATCCACTTATATATGTTCAAAACATTTGTTAAAAAAATTATAATTAAAACTAACACTACAAAAAAAATGTTATATTCCAACGGAAAATCCTATGGTAATATATTTCAATGAAAATTCCAACGGATATTCCAATGGTATAGCTTCCGTTAAAATCATTCCAACAGAAATTCCAACGAAAATATTCCGTTGGAATGTATTTTTCATTGGAATTTTAGATGGAATTTGTTGATTCCAATGGCTATATTTCCAACGGCTTTTGACCGTAGGAATTTCCGTTGGAATATACAATTTCCGTTGGAATTTTTATTTCCACCACCGTTGGAATCGTCAAAATCCAACGAAAATTTCAATGGAAAACTCACTCCAACGGAATATTTTTGTTGGAATTTCCGTTGGAATTATTCCAACGGAAATAATAGCATTGAAATATCCATTGGAATTGCCGTTGGAATTCTATTGGAGTATATTTCCGTTGGAATTTCATCATTTTCTTGTAGTGTAAATAATAATAACAACAAAAATTATTTTAATTTTTAAATAGTTCTTGAAAAAATATAATATTATTATACTTAATGACATCGTCACTTACACGACTTACCGTCTTATATTATATTTTTTTTTAAAAAAATTATATCATATAATTATTTTGTAGTTAAATTAGTTTAAATAATTTATTTATTTGAATTAATATTAATAAGCAATTTAATTTTAATTATAATGATAAATAAAATTATTTATTTATTTCTTATGTATAATATAAATGTCAAATTGAATCTCATCAAGACATTTTAATAAATAAAAAAAAGTTTTAATTTTTAAATAATATTTATAATAAAGTTAGTATATTTGTTATAATTTTTAGAAGACATACAAATAAAAAATAAAGACCAGAAAAAAAAATAAAAAAAAAAATTGTACATTATGAACTATGTCTACAATATGAAATTGTATTAAAATATAATTAAAGTTCTTAAAAAGAACTATAAATATTCAATATATTTATGAATATTCCAAGCCTAGTTACTTTTGGATTGAAAATAAATTAAAATTCATACAAGCCAAACGACAAAGCTTAAAAATTTACCACACGGCATCCTGAAGTGTGCGAGTCTGCCACTTAAACTCACCACATTCGGGAATCATATATAAGGATGATTTTTTAGGTTTTAATTTTAGGAGGAAAAAATTGTAGGGAAAAAGGGAACTGAGTATAAATTTATTTTTTTAGAGAAAAATAAATGAGAAAACAATGGATTTTGTACACAATAACTTTCCTCGCTCAAGCTAATATGTGCCTTAAAGCCTTAGGGCTCGCTTATTTATAAATAATTCGTTCAAAATAAGTTATTTTGGTTAATTAAAGTTAATTTTAAAAAAAGTAGTATGGTTAATTGTTAGTGGAATTTTAATAATGTATTAAAATAATATTTAAAATAAAATGATTAAAATATATTTGATATTAAAGTAGGAGATAAATGATTGGAAACGATTGGTAGTTAAAATTATGTGAGTGGATGAATATTGAATTAAAATTGATGTGATGTATAATAATGATTACTTTGTATTATTTAATTATACGAATAATATTAAATAATGAGATTAAGTTAAAATTGAGTTAGATTTTGAGTATGAATTAAATGTGAGTAAAATAATTTATAAACAAGCATTAAAGTCTTTGTAAAACAATCCTTAGACAATTATATTATTTTAAAAACATATTCATTCTTTCATATACAATTGGAGATGTTTCGAAAAGATAATATGAATTAAAATCTAATATTTCTAAATATAAATATATATTTTTACGGAAAAAAAATCATAAATTGATTAGTTTAACCGTTAAACTGATTTTGATAGTGTCGAAATTATCAGGTTGGATGCCGTACAAAGGGTGTCATCTCCAGATGAATTATTGACTCCAAAAAGGTAAAAAATGAGAGTTCAATAATTCAAGAATATAATAAATATTAGCCTCTTTAGTTTTATTGGCTAACTGATATTGACTTCCTTATCCTCTTCTAAATATCCCAACTACTTATCTACTGTAGCCATTTATTGTAAACTAAGGATATCCCTTTAAGGAACAACTTGTGTATGTCAAAAGGAAATACTTAAATATTACCCTAGCCACGTAGCATGTACTAGAGTGAGTTTTTTTAATTATTTTTTAAAATTATTGGATTAATATACATTGTATCTGATAAGCTCATGTACTAAAGTGAGCTTTTTTAATTATTTTTTTAAATCATTGGATCAATATACATTGTATCTGATAAGCTCTTCAGACCGAACTCGGAGATTGCCGTGAAACTCCTTGGTGACCTGTAAGACACTAAGTAGTCTCGACGTAAAATCTTCGACGCTCAAGTCAATAACGATTTTAGGAAGATGATAATGAAAGTGTGTAAAGCTTATGAGAATGTATATGGGTTGTAAAATATTACATTGCTTTGTTATACCTATTTATAGATAAATATGAAGCTTGTTGGACAAGCCTCGTCCTGCCCAACTGCTCGACGGTTATTTTCGTTGCCCCGAATATTTACGCCTTCTTTACACATGTCCCTGGGGACACCGACTTATATAGACCTCTTCTAAGGGTCTGTTTTGCTCCTTCATTCATATTTAAGCCCAAATATCCTAAGTCCTAAAATGTCCCTATGTTGTTCCCTTCATGGGTTCACGAATAGGTCCACCATCAATAGGCCCACCATTAGGTCCATCAATAGATTCACCCTTAGGTCCATCACAAGTAGGTCCATCAAGGGTAGGTTCATCTCCAGTAAATCCATAAGTAGGTTCATCACATATAGGTCCATCTCAAGTAGTTCCATCATATGTAGGTCCATTTCATGTAGGTTCATCACATGTAGGCCTACATAAATAGGTCCATCTCAAGTAGGCCCATCACATGTAGGCCCATTACACAGGTGCAATCTGATCATTATTGCTGTTGACCTCGTTTCGGCTCCCTAAACCGACCTAGTACAATTAGCTAATATATATATGTCAAATCAGTATTAATATATTTCCCAAAGAAAAATCATATTCACTTATTTATTTATCATATAAATTTAATCATAACATTTTAAACTTCACAAGTTTCTAAATTGTTATGAATCGGCCCGTCGAACATTGTATTACAAAAAAATACAAACTTATAGTTATAGAATGTCATATTTTGTTCATATTGTCTTTTAAAGTATCACATTTCAATTCAAAAGTAAAAATATATGTTGAAAACAACCTAACCATTAGCTCTGCAACTGACTTATTATTAGGTCTATCTAATTAAATCTATACGCATTCAAACTAAATTCAACTCTTAATTTCACAAAGGTATTTAAAAACTTGAACTGGTAAAATGCGGGTAAAACCGCCATTATTGACAGAACCATTTAAGTCCATAAGTAAAGAATACAATTTGATATATCAATGAACAATACTAAAAGTGGAAAAGCAAATGCCAAAACAAAAGATAGAATAAAATAAAAACATGAAGTTTAACTAAATGTGTAAAAACTAAACCAGCATGTAAAAACTTCATGCAGCTGCACTAATACACTCAATTGCTTGTTTGCAGATCCCAGTCATAGTTGCCTCTGGTCCATACACCTGCACAAAATAAGAACATATAATTTACTGAAATTACAAAAACGACCCTCCCGTTTCGCTTAGTTTAAAAGAAAAACATATTCTTTCAAAACAACATGAGAAATACCCGGATATGAATACAAAATCTCAATATAGAGTTTGGACGATAGTTAAGAGTACTTTTAATAAATCGAATATTTTGACAGTTTTACCTCAATAGGAAGGCCGATTTCATCAGCAAGATCTCTCATCCGGGCAAGGCCCTTTTGGTAATTTGGACCTCCCCTTCTAACGAACAGATGCATTCTTGCAGCCTTGAGTTTGGTCTCCTGTTTATTTGGATCAAGATTAGAATATCTAGTTTTTTACTATGGAAAAATTGGTTCTTTTTTTTTTCTTTTTTGTTTTTTATCTTTCTATCTTTTGTGGGAACTGAAATATATTTTTTCTCGGTTGACCTTTTCTCGGAGGGCTTGAATGATTCCACTGAAAGTGGCAGCCACGTCAGTGAAGTTAGCTATGCCACCACCAATCACAAGGGCTCTCTTTTGGCCATCGGGCTCGGCAGTTGCACACTGTAAAAAGATCTCAACTCAATCAGTCTAAATTTCAACTCATTTGTCGAAAATTTTGCTTTTATAAGAAGTAATTTGTTGTAGGAGAAAAGAGAATTCAAGTCGTGAAGCATGCATTTCCGATATCAGTTTGGTAAACCTAGCTGATGCGCTAGCTTATAGGTTTTAATTGAATTTTGAGCTTATAGCTGATAGTTTATGACTTATGACTGAAAAACTAACTTATATGATAATTGTGTTAGATACAATTAGCTGATAAGCTAGCTGAAATGAAAATTTCAATGAGCTTATTTGAAAAGCTACCCAAGGAAACTTGTGAGATAAGCTTGAGCTTTAAAAAAAACTCTAACAGAAAGCTTACAAGCTAACCAAATAAGTCATAAACTAGTTTATATGATTACCAAACACAGCCTATAACGGAAAAAGTCTAATCAGAAATCTAGAGCGCCATTCTCATCTACTATGCAAACTAAAACCTATTTAAAAAAAAAATCATATGAATAATATCTACTAATAAAGTCATGCAAGCACTCTTTTCGTTATTTTACGAGCATAATATACACGCAAAGGTTCGAAATTGTAAGCAAGAAAGTGTTTCTTACATCAATAACGACTCGAGCATACTGCAACACCTCCTCCTCCTTGGGGGCCCCACTATATTCCGCGTAGTTTCCGAGCTCATACGCATAGCCAAGGTCTCCAACCTATAAATACGTTCGGACATCATTAAGTAAGCAAAATATTCGAGCAAGGTGGAGAAAAATGGAAAAACAAAGGCCAAATCACAAGTAAAAAAGAAAGAAAAGGGAAGAATGAACTAAGACTATGTTTGTAAAAGCTGATAGCTTGTAAGTGATTTTCGAGCTTATAGCTTATAGTTTATGACTTATAGCTGAAAAACTAGGTTATATGATAAAAGTGTTTGATAAAATTAGCTGAAATAAATTTTTCAACGAGCTTATTTGAAAGCTACCCAAATAAGCTTATGAGATAACGTCCTACCAAACGAAGCTTATTTGAATACAAGAAGCTTATAAACTATAAGCTAGTTTTTTGTCTACCAAACATAGTCTATAGTTTATAGCCTATGCCTTATGACTTACAGCTGAAATGCTAGCTTATATGATAAAAGTGTTTAGTAAAATTAGCTGATAAGAAATTTCACCGAACTTATTTGAAAAGCTACCTGAAGAAGCTTATGAGATAAGCTCAAGTTTTAAAAAAAAATACTCGTCCTACCAAACAAAGCTTGTTTGAATAACAGGAAGTTTATAAGTTAATTAAATAAGTTGTAAGCTGGTTTATTTGATTACCAAACATAGCCTAAGAATAAACTAAGAATGAAATGAAAGAAACTCACAGTATCTGCATATATAACACTTGCGCCTCCTCCAGCAACCATTGTCCAAATTCGTCCTTTCGGGTTCAATACAGTGAACTTCAGAGATGCACTCGTCTGCAAGCCGGACAGAAAATATTTAAAGAATATATAAAAAATGTTCGTCTCATAATTCAACACATGTTGAATATATTAGTTATGATGTCTCGAATATTTCTTGTAACTTTCTCATAAATCTATTGCTTTTGTACCTTCTCGTCTAGTCCGTGAATGAAGCTTTCGGTAGGACTCATAGTCCTTCCGAACGGCATTGGAAATTCGATATTTCCCCATCTACATTGTGATAAATAAGTGAATTTGAGAAACAATAGAATCCGTATATATATATACACAAACATCATAAATCAACCAAGAGATAAAAAAAAAAAATACTTTTTGAAGTTTTTGAAAGCAGCAGTATCGTCTAGCTCGCCTCTCATGTCCAGAGGATAAGGCTTTCCATCGACCAATGTGAAGGGATTCATCTCAATAAAAGTGAAGTCCAAATCTAGAGCCATATTAGATAATTAAAATTTTGGTTCACTGCTAATTAAGAGCCAAGATAAACTAACATTTTGGTTTTATATTCGAAGTATAATATCTTACATACCTAAAAATAAAGCATAAACGGACTTGATGAACTCTTCAATAACACCTTTAATCTGCATCATAAAAATAAT